ACTTAAAAATGAAATCAAACACTCATAATTGTAATGAATGTTCTGAATGTCAAGAGAATAGATACTGCGATGAGTGTAGTGATTCAAATTCTAATGTGTGACAAATTTGTGTGTAAATGTTTTGGTTTAATGTGAGAGAATTAAGTACATAGCTATCATTACGTAACGTCGTCCCGCATAAAGCACCGGGATTCGATTCATTCAACCTAAAACGGAAAAGATGGTACGTTATTGCAGCAAATAAAATACATGTACAATTGTTTGGATATAGTTATCGGGATATTGGACATCACCGTAAGTTCTCTCCTTTAACTAAATTCAAAAGTACGTAAGTACATGACATGATTGCTTCATCTTTAGGCATTTACTCTTACGCTTTGCTCCTGGGATTAACAAATGAATGATTTTGTCATTCGGGTTTTAGAGTGGAACTTATTGGTTATTAATTCAATGATATCCAGATCGTACCGCGATCAAAAAAAATAATATTGGGTTTTTTAGAAAAAGATGGTTATTTAGAGCATTCTAGCTAACGTGTGTATTAACTTAATTGTATGCCTGAAAAGGAATTAATCTTTATAAAAATGCTAATTTCTTGATAGCGATAGTAAAAATAAACGAGATACATGTAATCGTTGACTGTGCATGTAATTTTTTTCGATCAATCAACAGTGACTAATTACATGTAATTAAGGGATCGACAATGATCGACATTAATTTATTCTATGAATTTACTGTAGAAAAAAAAACCGTTGAAAACCATATCGATATGCTAACATCATTACAACACAAGGTTTGGTTCCACACCTTGCTAAGCATAGCAAATGGATGCAATAATGAAATAAAACATATTATCGAAACAATTCTTAATCAAGCATGGAGGTAGTTCCAGAAGATATTGTTGATGTATTTCTTCGTGCAAATAATGTCAAATAAGAGTACAGGGTTATGATCAATTGAGTATTTATAATAATAAAGACTTGAATAATTTACCTTGGAAATCAAATTTCTAAAACAAAAGAACTTGTTAAGCATGCATTATAAGAAATGGCTGTCTTTGGCTGGTTCTTTTTGATCATATTATAACTTTAAAATTTTCAAAAAAAATAACAAATTAAAAAAACGCGTATACATGTGTATATAAGGGAAGGGAAATGCCCTTCTCTTGATAATTTTAATGGTAATTTTCATTTATATAATTATTCTTTATATATAATTTTCTTTGTTTAGACTTCAGAAGTAAACAACACTATCATTTTTCAATTCCCTTCACGCATAACACCATCACCAACTCGATCACATTCTTGAACATCATCGCAACGGCGACAATCTTAATTACAAGTGCTGCAACAATTAGAATAGCAACAGCAACGGCAACATGAAGAATAGCTGCAACAACAACAGCGTGAACCATAGCGGCAACTATATGAAGAACAAACAGAACCACTATGACTACAACATGATGAACACCTGCAACAACGGCGAATAAATGAATAGTGATGGCAGCAATAGCAAAGATAGAAAATATATGATTATTAACATGTTAATTCTATATTTAATCATTATCATTTTTATGGTGAGCACGTGAAAATTTTCTTATGTATTTTGCTATGTCTCACAGTTGAGGGATCCTGTGAGTCATTGCATAGCTGACAGCTCATTGTTTACGGTTGGGAGATCCTGTGGCCTGCAAAAATAACGCACCACTTACTTTGTTAATCGTGATTCTCACTCACATGCAATCCGATGAACGCAAAAAAGATTTGCAATCAGCGTCTAATACAGTTCTTTTAAGTATGGTGCGCCCAGCTTAGTCGCATCAAATGCTGCGCCACCGCTGAAATTTCGGTATGCAATGTAATATAGCATACAATACAATGCCACCAATAGCATTGTATGTAATATATAGTCATGTAAATTCTAAAAATAAATTGATTTATTAAATGTTTTTAATTTAATTTAAAATATATGTGGCTTTCTCATGTGAAAGCATACATATTCTGTCCCCTGTTCTTCACTTTTATGCATAACTTTTAGCCTTGGATTTTTTTCTCTGTATTATATTTATATTTCATGGATCTGCTTGTTTATTAGACATTACTAGTGGTAGGTGATTCAAATTCTGTATGCTTTTATTAAAACTGCAAATAATTGATATCAATACCAAAAAGAAGTAAATCTACTTGGCACTGTATCTTGGCTGTTGGAATGATATTAAATATAATAAAAAACTCTTCAATACTTTATAAATTGGCAGTGAAAATAACTTTGATACTTTATAGATCAGTAATAAAAATGAACCTTTGAAAGATAACCAATTTGTAGAAGAATTTGAATAATTAAAGTCAGATTAGTTTGAAAAACTTCTTAAAGCAAAATAACCAGATATAAAAAGAAGAAAACCTATCTATACTGGCTTTGTCAAATCAATCTTATAGAACAAGAGAGCAGCTTGAAAAAGATAGTATCAGGTATTAGCAAAATTATAAATTAGTTTTCAGTAACTTAAATTTCAATAATTCATAATAATATTAATAATAAGCTCTCATTAGACAAGATAGTTAACTTCAAAAATAATAATAATAAGTTTACTTTGGAATCACTTAATGTACTGTTAAAGAGAAAGCTAGATAATCCATTTTCTTAATAGTTGTCATTCCTACATTTTGTTAAATATATGTTTGGATAAATTCTAAAAGATATTTTGAAATACTCAAATTGAACAAATACATTCTATCAGAGATTATTGCTTCATAGATATTAAAATCACTAATATAATTAATTAATCAAATAATTATAATTAATATTGATATTAATCAATTATTAAAAAGATTTTATACTAATCCAAATTCTATAAGAAATTATTCTTATCATAAATTAAATATTCTTTTAATTATTCTGTATTAATTATTACTTGTATTTTTTCTGATATTCAGAGAATTATATTAGATAATATTATTATTACAATGAATTAATAAGTGAAGTTTTACTTGAATTTATCTTAATAATATAGGATTAGAAGAGACTGAAATAATTAAAGACAAAGAGAGAGAATTAAACTATAATTTTCAATAATGACAAAGATTTCTAAAATCTGTGTCAATATCTATAGATATTGTTTTAATAAAGAATAAAGTAAATAAAGAAAGAAGTAATAAATCAAAGAAATTATAAAGATTGATTAAGTAAAATCACTAGTGATATAATTCAAGTTTTAAAATAATTAAATAGTAAACTATTAATTAAAGAAGACTATAACTAATAAAAGATAAAAATAAAATATATAAACTAAATAACTAAATAAAAATAAAAGATATAGCTTATT